CACCTACCATAACCCCACACCCATCCACATACACACATGGCCACTTCCCAACAACACCCCCGCACATACACCCTCTTACTGCCCACACACAATATACAGTAGGCTTTGTATTTGGAGCTATTATGCAGTCACCTCTAGATACATGTTGCAAACACACAAATCAGTATACAAATATTTTTAAATAAAATGAAAATAAGTTATAGTAGATGTTTTATTTTTTTTTGCATAGGATTTGGGTTTTTTTTTTCTGGTTTCAAGATTGCAGCACCCTCCCTCCCAAGAGGGGTACTCCTTGGACAAGGGGAGAGACTTCTGGTGGCAAAGGTCAGGGATTGGGGGCGGGACTTTCGGTCCCAATATGGTGCTTGGGGGACGGGGCAACTGTTATGGGGCAAAGCTACCCATGCAGCCCTCAACAGCTCACCAAAACTCAGTAAGCGGCCCTCCACCCAAAATAATTGCCTAAACAATCTAGACTGAAGCAGACCTTGACCTAACATTGAAATGCAACCACTTCTAGGATGCACCACAACATCTGTTCTACTGCAGTTAGCAGTATAAATGCATGCATTAAGGACGGGAAGTAAAGAATACTTTTAACGAATTGAAACTTGGGGGGAAATTTCTTAAGTAGGTGAAAATTAGTTATTGAAAAAAAAAGTGAATTAGCCAGGTCAATTAAGTTGATAGATTACTTTTGGAAAAATGCCATGGGATTTTTAAGAAAGATGTCTACATTAGCTTATTGTTAAAAACACACATTCTCAACTCAATATGTTAGCTAATACTCCTAATTAAAAGGACTGTAAGTCTTATGGTCCACTCTGTTTCATCAATTTAAGAATATACTCTAAAGTCATTACTATTTTGCCATGCATTATAGTTATAGGAAGGGTTGCATTTTGTTTCCTTAGCAGTATGTTATACATTGAAACAATACTTCCTCTGGAAAGGTCAGGGCACTGAGTCATGTAGCAAGCATAATCAACAAGTAGACACGTTACATATGAAATGTTGAAGCCCATATGTGTGAGAAATGTTTTTTAAGACAGCCGCTGAATTTATGTAGTGCTAGTAATAGGTGGATAGATTTTCTACTAGGAACAACTGTAATAAAATCAGATTACAACTGAAACTAAATGCTAAATTAAACCATAAGAAAAAATGAAGTGTCAGTGGACTTCGCATCTAAATCAGATTCAATTAAAGAAACTGTTGATGCCAAAATTATGCTGGAGACAGTTGTGAAGGACAGCTCCCTAATGTCATCTCTGAGTCACCTTTCCAATGACTTACTGGCCCTGAGAGGGAAGCAATTCCTAGCCCTGAGAAGGGAATGGATTCCCCTTGAATTCACACAAAAGGATCTGCTTCCTCCTTTTTTTAATTAGTCTCCCTTCCCATTGTACACACAAACACCTCATTGTTTATAGGAGTTATTTTGGTTTTGGTGGAATTATGAAAGCTGGGTCCTGGAAGGACTAGTCTGCATGCAGAAGGGGTGTGGTCCAGTGTTTATTGAAGTCAACTGGAGTTTTTCCCACTGGCTGTTAAATCTAGTCCCCTGGAGTGGTTGCAGGATGTGGTCCAAAGATGCAAGGGCAATTTAACTTTTTTTTAATACTTTTTTTTTTTTAATGAAATAAAAGCTCACCAAATGTGGCACTGTTTATAAGTGCATTAGCTAGAGGCTTTTCATTCCAGCAGGAAGCTGTGGCTTTGGGACAGTGCATCTTTCTCATAGACATTACGTTAACGGGACAGACTTTTGCCCCTAGTTAAAGTACTCCAGTGTGGACTCAGTGCAGACTTGAAAGTTAGTGGTATTCTTAAATGATTTGCTGGACTGAAACCTATTTGCTTAGGTGCTTTGCTGCCTCAGGACCCAAATTTGCATGGGCTAAAGGGTAAATAATGTGTTCTCTGTGTGGCCGGAGCATGCAATCGAACCTCACTGTCAGGATTTTGAGTGGCATGGGCAATAGAGGCAAATCTGGCAGAGGGACTCCAGGCTTTGGTGCAGGTTGGCTGGAAGTGGCCAAGACCCAGCAGATGGAGGGTGCAGGCAGGAGGCTTGAAGGTGCTGCTGAACGACAATATAAAACCCAAGACTTGGTGGTGGGATTAATCCACTGGTTGCAGGCTCCCTGTTTTCCCCCACCCCACCCTCCTGTCCCAGAGCCATGAGCGTCCCCCTGCTTCCACCCCATGGCTGCTGGCTTCTGCCCACTTCTGCCTGATCCACCCTGCTGGGGGCTATAGAGCCCAAAGCCTTGAGCCCCTTCTTCTCTGTTCCAGCACTTTTTGATAAGTTAGTGCCCAGGAGTTGGGACCCCTTGACCCACCACTGCTCACTGTGCTGCAAAGGTCCTATTGTGTAAAATGGAGCTGCTATTTACCTCTTGTGGCTTGCAGGTGTGGCTTTGGGGTCCGATCATTCCTGTTGATATCAGCAAGGGCTTTCATGAATTTAATATCTGCAATGTGTCTGGCAGGAAAATCCTTCACGTCTTGTTTTCCTTGACAAGAACAGCGACATTCCCCTCGAAACCAACATTGTCAGCATGAGCAGATGAATCTCCTGATTTGGAAAGAAGAGTGACAACAGTTGTTTCACGGTGCAAAGTTTTAGGATTTTTTTCATTTAAAATAGCCTTTTCATTTCAAAATTTGACTAAAAAAAAAAGCAAGGAAAAGTGTAAAGAGGGAAGAATGAAAGGAAATTAGCCAGTCTATTTTTTTTTTCTTTTCCAGATCATTAATTTGAGAAAAAACATTTGAAATGTTGACTCTTTTCACCCTGATTCAGGGCAGGGAAACCATTTCCTGGCAAGTTTAATCTTATGGGCTTTTTTTTTTGCAATTTAAAGAGTTTTCCAAGCATCTAGCTTTACCCCCAGCTTGGCAGTGGAAGATGGTTTTGTAGAGATTAACCAACTGGCTGATGGTTTTTTTGGCTTCTGAATTTTGGGGCCATCAGGGAGAGAGATGCATGGACTGAACATTACTTGAACTATTCTTTGCTCTTTGAGTATGCCTTGTGACCTCTCCCCAGCACACAAACCTCTCTCCTCTTCTTATCAGAGCCCATCTTTGGGAAGCCGGCAACTGGTTTTGATCAAATCTTCTGGCTAGAGGTTGTTATAGCAAATATAAAAAGACTCAAATGCATGCAGCTGGGCCCAGTGGAGCCCTTCCATACTGAACTGTTCCATGAAATCTCCAGCAACCCTTGAAAGAATAAATAATTGCATATAAATAATACAAGGTTTATTAGAAGAACTGCGTGTGTGGAAACTGAAACCTTCCCTGAAAAGGATGCTGATGACTTAGACATGCTTGAATTAGTCCAGACATTTCCTTGTGGGTATATTTTTTTCAGAGAGCCACAACTCCTGTGTAACCCAAGTGACATTTGCCAATTGAAGTGATTATTTCCTCTGGAGGAAATCACTCTCTTTAAAGGCCCATGCATAGTCTTTTTTCCCCCCCTCCGCTCCATCCAGTGGCACATGCTAACAATTAAAGGGATAGATAGCTACAAATCCTTTCTGGGCAGAAAACCTTCGCTGCTCCAAGGGAGACCATGCATTATTCCATGGTGATTCCATAAATTAGCAGGAGCTCTTCAATCACTGCGTGTTTAAATCTGGCCTGGAAAAAATCTTCCCTGCCCCTGGAATTAGAGAGATGTTACAAGAGACAGGGGTGTTAAGTGCTTAATGAGCATTGGATGAAGCTCATCAAAGTCCAGACTCTTCTGTGTGCTAATAACATGGTCCAGTTCCAAATCCTTAGAAAAGGACAAAAAGGATACTGCTGTTTTGTCCAGCAGCGATAGTGATTTGGATCCTGGGGAAGCGAGATGAACTTGCATTTTTTTCCAGTGATGGTGCTGATTTAATGACCTGGTAAACAAAGTGTTTCATCTATTTCTTCTCCTCCTCATTCTTTTCCAGCAGCCTGTTCAGTCATTTCTGCCAGAAGCTGCCACTTTTCCTGATCGACATCTGAGATTCCTTATATGCTGAAGCATCATCGGAATGCTCTCGCCTGCATCCGTCGGGGAGAAAAACCCTCCATAGAGCAGTAAAAACTTAGCCCAATGCTATATGTCTTGTTTCTGTACCATTTATTTAATTTATTTATTTAGAATCAGCAGGCAGCATTTGGATTTATATAGTGCTGGTAATGGCTGGAGATGGGTTGAGCCCTGAAGCGAATAGGTAGGTGAATAGAGTCTCAGGACCCCTTGCTATTTTTTTTTTTTTGACCAAACAACTAAAGGATAATTCTACCTAGCAATCTGTAATAGATCTGATATCTCAAATTACCTGGTCAATTAGTGATAATAGCAATACTTTCAGGACTCATTCCAACAGCCTCAGAAAGCAGATGTTTTGCAGCCTGGATTTAAATGTAGTCCTTTTGGAAATCAGACAGAGGGATCTTTGTCAAAATGCCTTGCTGTGGAATGTAGATAAAATTTGGGATGTTGGAATCTGATCTAAAAGCTGGGGCTCAAGTCTATTGCTAATGAAAAATGTCCCTCTTTAGTCTATATAATTCTTGATGAACATTTGAGGGGGGAGTCAGTGAGTAGGGCTCTAACCCTTCTTCTCCTCTACCCCACCAGTCAGCAAGGGCCACGTACAGGTATTACACATAAAGTGACTGAAAGCTGGTCTGACACCCATAACAGAACAGAGGTTCGGTGCACCTAGAACGGTTTAAAATGGCATAACCATTGGGTTAAGATAGACTTGGATTGATGTGAGCTCAGACTGAATTGATTTAGATTAGACTGATGCACTGAACTTCTGTATCAGATGGCCTATCGATTCATGTTAGATTGCTGTCTGCCAGCATCCCAGGCACCTTTGTGGCTCCCTGCTAGTCTCGCCCCGCACTAGCACTTGCCTCGCACTTGGCTGCTGTGGCTGAGTGCCCAACAGGCCCCTGGACTGTCACAGAGCCAAGCCAGCACAGACTCTCTCCCCAGCCCTGGTTGCAGCTTGTGGCCAGCCGTCAGCTGCAAACAGATGGGTGGGAGGGAGGAAGGGAGGCGTCTGTGCAGCTGGCAGCAGAAGGCGCCTGTCAACCTGGGAGGGTCGCACTGGGGTGCTCTGTAGAAGGAAGGAGCAAGGCTCCTGGCAGCTCCAACACCAGTGGCAGCTGGTGGCTGGCAGCAGGACACGCCTGGCAGCACGGGAGCTCATGCCAGGCAGTGGTGTGGCCTCCTTCTGCCAGCTGCCACTCATGCCAGGGCTCCGAGGGGCCTGATCCTGATTGTTTCTTTTCCGCAGTGCCCAGGCCACCCCTGATTGGCTGCCCACATGCCCCCAACTCCCTGCAGTCACTGCAGACCCTCCCTCTGCCCAGAGCTAGGTTTTCAGGAGAGCCCTAGAGTGGGTCACCATGGTAAGCCCAGCTGCCTGGCTGGTGGTGGTGCGGGGAGGGTGCCGTGGTGATTCACTCCGCAGCTCTCCTGGAAGCCTAGGTCTGGGCACAGGAGAGGGGCGAGGGTGATGGCAGAGGGCTGGGGGGTGTACTTGGCAGACAGTCAGGGGTGGCCTGGGTGCTCGGCAGCACTTGGAAGTGCTGGGAGGTGTGCAGGAATGCCCCAAACCTGCTGCCCTTGGTCAGTGCCAGTGCAGGAAGCCTCTTGGCCTCCCCCCTCCACACCCAAGGGTGAATGTGTATTCTGCTGTCTCCCTGTCTAACCTACGCCGCTTACAGAAACCTGCATCAGTTTGATCAGCTCCACCTCGGGCTATTTCATGTCTGTACAGAGCCTTGGTGACCCAGGCCAGAGATGTATAGCTGTTCCCTCCTTGAGGCAGTGACATAAATGTCAAAGTAGCAGGGGTAAGGCTGATAGACCCCCCTTCTCCTCCTCCCAGGGTAGTCCACTTCCTTGTTTCTTCATTCCTGCACTCAGGGTTTGTAGCACGCGGCCCGGGATCCAGTGAGTCAGCAGAGAGAGACAGACTGACTCAGAAATAACACTCAGTGTTCAGGAAAGAGCTCAGACTTTTTGGGACTTGATAGCATTTTCCAAATACGGTTTTATCCACATTTCAGCTTTAGGGACGTCTGCTTAATACCTAAGCTTCAATAGGAAGGTCCTGAAGAGGTGCGAACTACTTTGCCTGGGTTCCAGCACAGGATCAAATGTACTGCTGTTGGTCAAAAGCAGAGCAATGTGAGAAAACTGGAAAAAAACCCCACTGTTTCTTTGATAAGTCGTTTTGAAACCTAGAATTTGGTTTTCATGAAAGCTGGGGCACAATATGAACAGGGAGAACATTTGCTTAAAGCATGTTTTTGTGTCTTTGCATTCAGGACAAAACTAATGATTTTTACATTTTTGAAAACTGAGATTTTTCACTCAAAAAGTATTCCTTTCCCCTATGTGTATACAGGTGTGCTTGTGTCACCTATGAATTATCACAGTATTTGTGTGAAATGCCTTTTTTTTTTCAAATTTGGTGAAATGAGACATGAATTTGGACATATTGTAAAGTAACAGAAATGGAAAGTTTGGGGCAAATTCATTGGGTCTAATGGTGTAGTGCTATTGATTTATACCAAGACTGAATATTTCTTATCAGATAAACAATCTTTGCACTGTTGTTTGTGGGGTTTGAAGGAAAAATAGTGTAATGGTTTATGGCTTGGATTTTCAAGGAGGATGCAATGACTTAGGCACCTAAAACTTATGCAGAGCTTCTGTACCTAACTCCTCTGGTTCCTTGGAAAATCCCAGCCTGTCAGTCGCAAGTGTTTGTTTCCTGTACACATAATATTGGTACGTAGGAGACACCAGGTGACGCTGTTTGACACATTAGTGCATAATCATTTTAACTGGATGGTCTATGTTTAGTCTTCAGAAAAAAATCCAATATCATCATTAATTATGTTACTGTTTGTTGCCTTAATCTTGTTGGTTGCCATCAACGAGGGGGAGGAGTGGCACTCTACATCAAGGAGGACTACACGTCCTCGCTAATTAGTAAGGAGTCAGGGGAGAAGCACTCTGAGGTGCTTTGGGTTAGGGTTCGAGGCAGAAGAGGGGAAAGGGGACCTATTGGTGGGAGTCTACTATAGACCCCCTACCCAAGCAGGGGAGCTTGACTAGGAACTCTTGGGTCAGCTCACTGAGGTAGTAAAAGCTAGGGATGTGGTAGTCATGGGGGACCTGAATTTCCCAGACATCTGCTGGGAAGAGCAGTCGGCCAGGTCCGAGCGTGCACGCAGGTTCTTGGAGAGAGTTCAGGACCTTCATCTAACCCAGGAGGTGCACAGCCCCACCAGGGGGATGCCTTGTTGGACTTGGTGTTGGCCACAGGCGACGACCTGGTGAG